GTAACAAGACACACAGAACCCCTGGCACCGAAGCCCGCCACCGTTACGTGTGTGTTGCCATAACAAAAAAAAAAAAAAATGACACACAGGGACCGCCCTGGCACCGAAGCCCCCACGTTACATTGTGGTGCGATAACCAAGATCACCACAGGGACCCCTGGACGAAGCCCGCACGTCTAGTGTGGTGCATAACAAGGAAGACACAGACCTGGCACCAAGTCCGCCACCGTTACGTTGTGGTGTTCATAACAAGACAGCACAGACCCTGGCACCGAACCCGCCACCGTTTATTGATGGTGCTAACAAGGACACACAGACCCCCATGGCCACCGAAGCCCACCCCAGGTTTACATGTGTGGTGCTATTTAAAGCAAGACACAGCGAGACCCTGGCAACCGAAGCGCGCACGTTGGACGTGGCCGCGGTAGATCTTCCTGGAAAGCTCTGTGCGAGCGAAGGAGCCGCCCCGCTGCGCCTTGTGTGTTGTCCGTTGGCGCGGATGGGGGTCTGTGGGAAGTTGCGGCCGCGGCGGCGGGCCGAGCGCCGCGCAGGCCAGCGGGATCCTCACACCGGTTGCCCGAGGCTGTGTTGTGTGTTGTTGGAAACTGTGTCAGGAACTTCCAAGCGAAACCGAGCCGACCCAGAACCGTGCCCCATGTCGGTGCCAGGGGTCTGTGTGTCTTGTTATGCACACACATGTAACCGGGTGGGCTTTGGTGCCTAGGGTCTGTGTGTCTTGTTATGCACACACACATAATGGTGGCGGGCTTTGGTGCCTGGGGTCTGTGTGTCTTGTTATGCACACACATGTAACCCTGGTGGGCTTCGGTGCCAGGGGTCTGTGTGTCTTGTTATGCACACACGTAACGGTGGCGGGCTTCGGTGCCAGGGGTCTGTGTGTCTTGTTATGCACACACACGTAACCGGGTGGGCTTTGGTGCCAGGGGTCTGTGTGTCTTGTTATGCACACACACGTAACGGTGGCGGGCTTCGGTGCCAGGGGTCTGTGTGTCTTGTTATGCACACACATGTAACCCTGGTGGGCTTCGGTGCCAGGGGTCTGTGTGTCTTGTTATGCACACACATGTAACCGGGTGGGCTTTGGTGCCAGGGATCTGTGTGTCTTGTTATGCACACACACGTAACCGGGTGGGCTTTGGTGCCAGGGGTCTGTGTGTCTTGTTATGCACACACATGTAACCCTGGTGGGCTTCGGTGCCAGGGGTCTGTGTGTCTTGTTATGCACACACATGTAACCGGGTGGGCTTCGGTGCCAGGGGTCTGTGTGTCTTGTTATGCACACACATGTAACCAGGTGGGCTTTGGTGCCTGGGTTCTGTGTGTCTTGTTATGCACACACATGTAACCCTGGTGGGCTTTGGTGCCAGGGGTCTGTGTGTCTTGTTATGCACACACACGTAATGGTGGCGGGCTTCGGTGACAGGGGTCTGTGTGTCTTGTTATGCACACACATGTAACCGGGTGGGCTTTGGTGCCTGGGGTCTGTGTGTCTTGTTATGCACACACATGTAACCCTGGTGGGCTTCGGTGCCTGGGTTCTGTGTGTCTTGTGTACAGGTAATGGCAGTGGGCTTTGGTGCCTGGGGTGTGTGTCTTATGCACACACACATGTAATTATGGTGAACTTCGGTGCCTGGGGTCTGTGTGTCTTGTTACACACACACAAGTAAACTGATGCAGGTCATCAGTTAACAGATCACTTGGGTCTTGGTATGTGTCTGGTGACTTGTCTCTGATTAACGGACTTCCTTATCTTAAAACATTCCAGGCCTTTAGGCAAAGCTTCATTTCTTTAACCAGTTACAAAGCAAAGAATCTTTAATCCCACCTATAGCCTATAGCCTATAGCCTGTAATCCATGTTATGAAATGTCCTGCTTTTTTTGGGCCAAACCAATGTACACCTTCCATGTATTGATTTATGACTTTCTGCGTAATTCCTGTCTCCCTGAAATGTATAAATCAAAACTGCATCCCAACCACGCTGAGACCACTTGCTCAGGGCTTCTTGGGCGTAGCTCTCAAGAGCCATGGTCACACATATTTGGCTGAGAATAAACCTCTTTAAATTATTTGACAGAGTTTGGGTTCTTTTTCATTGACACTTGTATTTCATTATTAGTGTGGAATCGAACAGATTTTAGTTTTAGGAGCTGGATGTAGCCTGCAGACCTACAGCTGCAGTCTGCATGTCCTTGCTCTTGGGAACCCTGCAAGAAATTTCCTTAATGAATGGTCTGTGGGACCAGCCCTTCCCAGGGACCTGAGGCCTTCACCCTCCCTCTTGCCTAAGGAGTCCAGGGGTGGGGTCCTGAGGTTATTTTCTTTTACAACTTTGTGAAATGTGGTATAGACATTAGGCATATGATTGGGTACGCATGGTAGGCAGAATGGTGCTCCCCAAGATGTCCATGTCATCGTCCCAGAACCTCCAGGACATCCAGTTACAGGGCAGAGGGGAATTAAGATTCCATATGGAATTAAGATTGCTAATCAGGTGATGTTGAGGGTGCCCTGGGTTACCTGGCTAGACCCAGTGTGCTTACAAGGGTCCTTAAGAGCAGAAGCGGGAGGCAGGACAGGGAACCAGATGTGGAGCAGGGGGAACAGTACACAGCCCTGCACTGCTGGCTGTGAAGGTGGGAGACCAGGCCAGGAGCTCAGGAGCGCAGGTGCCTCTGGACGGTGGAAAAGGTGAGGAAGTGGACTCCCCTCTGGGACCTGTGGAAAGGCTCCAGCCCTGACAGCACTGATCTTAGCCCATCGAGACCCATGTCAGAGTTTTTATCTACAGAACTGTGAGGTGATAAATTTGCTTTAAGCCACTAAACTGGTGATGATTTGTCACTGCAGCAATAGAAAACGAATGCGGCAACCATATTCTGAAATTATTTACCACTTTTCATTTACACTTTTTAAACCAGGCTAGTGAGGTGCATATTCCTTCTTAATAATATGTAAGAATTCTCATTTCGGCGATACTCATTCTTTATGGGTTATAAATATTTTCTCCCAGTTTTCCATTCCTTTCAGGTGTCTTTTGATGCTCAGTTTTTAATTTTAAGATAATCAAATTATCAATCTTTTATAGTTGTCCTTTTTGTCTTATTTAAAAAAATCCTCATCTAATTCAAGAACAGAAAAAAATTACATGTATTTTTCCTATTGAAAGTTTTATGCCAGCCAAGGTGGCTCACACCGGTAATCCCAGCACTTTGGGAGGCCAAGGTGAGAGGATTGCTTGAGGCCAGAAGTTCAAGATCAGCCTGGCAACATAGTGAGACTCCAGAACCTCTCTCAGGAAAAAAAAAAAAAATTAGCTGGATGTGGTGGCGCACACCTGTAGTCCCAGACATTGGAAGGCTGAGGCAGGAGCATCACTTGAGCCCAGGAGTTTGAGGTTACAGCGAACTGTCACTGGGCCACTGCACTCTGACCTAGACAACAGAGAGACCCTGTCTCTCTAAAAAAAAAAAAAGCTGATAGAAGCTTAAAACCCTATAAATCTACAGACGTAATGCTGACTTTGTACTTATTTGAAAAGCAAAATACCCTCCTTCAAGGAGGGAAAAACACATGCAGAGACTATAAAGTGTAATCCTCTACTGGGCACAACTAGGGAACTTACAGAACATTCTTAGTTTATTCTACAGGATGAAGTTGGTCAATAATTTTCTGTATACATAGCTTAAAATTGTTTAGCTTCTTCAGCAGTGAACCCATTTTGACAAATAACTTATTTTAGGGGCCAAATTCTCTCAAGGCAACCTAATATTCACTGCCTCTTTTCTCAGCAACTTTCAATCTGTTTTCTAAGGTTTCTGAGCTTGTACTTGCATGTTTATTAAAGTAAATATAATTTACAAATTGCTTGTTGATTATAATCTTGAAATAAAAGTGACAAAACATTTACTGATCTTTTTATTATATTAATATACTCAGGTGAATTAACCCTTAAGCCCTAAAACAACAAAAATATATTACTTATTTTATAATTCTGGTCCTTCAAATAAAGACAAATAGAAAATTATGTTAAAACATTAAAAAGGTGCAAATTTTCATTAAAAGTATTTACATTTGTATTCTAATGCCAAATTTATAGATACAATTCTTTTAAATTAGATTTAAATAATTAAATTAATTATTCTTAAAATATGAACATAATAGAAATAAATATTAAATATCCACAACACATTCATGAGTGAAAAATTCAATTATTAGTGTTGCAAATTTAGATATTTACTTATGAATGGCCAAGGGATCTTACAGTTCCTTTTAATTTTTTTATCCTTTATTCTTGGTCCCTTAAAGTATAATCACTCTGTAAAGCTCCGAGTAGCTACTGACTGCTGCCAGAATCATTTCGACATAAACACGTGATTCTTCTGTAACCAGCAAGAGAGTAACCTGTTTTAAATGAGCCCAAGTTTGTTAATCAAC